TGCACCCCCATGGTCCAAGTCACTACACACGACGTACATGTACACAGAGCAGTGACTTGGAGGTCTTGTGGTACAAGAGGTGCGCTCTCAAGTTCGTGCATGTGCACATGTTACAAGAGGGAGGGGGGTTCCCCTATCTCCTCCAGGGGAAAGAAAACTTGGGGTAACAATCGCAAATGGGATTTGGGACCGCTGTTTTGAAACTGTTTTGCGTTATCCCTGCTTTTGCCATTGACCAGGGTTTCTTTGAACATTTTTCCAAATCACAGAACCCTCTGTCTCTTTTTGTTTCTACATCACAGTTTTTACATTGGGGAAAAGTGAGTAAAATACCTCAGCGTTAACACCCTTCTATCATTAATGTTTTTTTTAGTTTAGTTTTATGCTGATGAATGCAATGCTCTCCCTCATCCCTTTTCATGAACCGTTTCAGAAAATGAAATATTTCCACAATCTAATTCAGTGTAAATCAAAGAATTAAATTTTTATCTTGTTCTCTCCTTAAAAAAAAAAAAAATAGCTATACCGTTAAAAAAACCTCACACTCCTTGGGGTGTCCTTATTAAATCCTTTTTCCTTATTTGGCTTCTTAAATTTCCAGAGCATTTTTCAATGAGAAGAAATCCAAAAGGCATAACTTCCAGGTTTCTTACATAAATGCAAGTAACTTAAGAGGAACAGAAAGTTGCAAACAAGGGGTAGTAAAGTGCAGTTCAAATCATGAGCATATTATTAATGTCTCAGGCCACATATTTTATTTCATTCAATTAAAATCCTCAGACTATTACACTGATTACAGAAATAACAAACATTACACGGAATACTACTCTAGACTTAAAAATCATTTGTGCACACAAATTCTGATGGTTTGCCTCAAGTGTATTGACCTTGAGTGGCATAGAACAGGCCATACAAGATCCAATATGTACTCTCTAACCCATATTTCTCCAAAATGTCTACAAGGCAAAGGGCTTGTATTTATTTTACGTAAGTTTGACACATCATACAAGCCCATTTTTGATTGGTGGACCATTTTGGAATACAAAATGCATAGACCAAAGGCTTTAAGAAGTTTCCCGAGGGAGACTGGACCTGTTCAGTACTAAACCCTTAAAGCTTTCTATTTTATTCTTCTATCACAAGGTGTTGCCATCTTAAGACTCAAATCTGTGACTTTCAGAACCATGTATGGCAAATTGGATGGTGAATCTTCCGTTTGTGAAAAAGAAATCAAATAAGTGGAAATGAAGAAACATGAATAGCACTTAACTTCTCAAATCTTCCACCCCTTTCCTCTTGTCCACTTGCAGGTGGGTATACTTTTTAGCCAAAAATTTCAACTCTTGAAAAAGGTAAGATACAGCCACCAACAGAGCCAAATACCATAAATACTGATTTACACGAGTCATTTGAAGAGTATTTGTACCACATATTTCTTACAACAACCTCATACTTTTCAACAATGTGGGACATGCCCATGGAGCGGTATATACTACCGTGACAACAGGGCCATATATGTACGGCTGCCAAGTTCAAATTCAACACACAGTGTACCTCCACAGACTTCTCAGACTTTGTGTGTGCTTGAAAAAAAAAAAAACAGACCACTGACCTGTTTAAATGTCAGTCGAGTTGATCAAGTCAACTTATGCTTGATGTTTGAAACCATTAGCTTGTACCTGTGTAAACGGATGGCCAGATAATGGCAACATGCACTCTTGTCTAAAGTGGATTTAGAAAAATAAAAATAAGAGCATATCTTGTTTAAATACAGACATTCAAGGAAAAGGGACCTTGAAGTTTAAGAGTTGCTGTTGAACCTCCCCCTTCCCATTTCATTTGTTTTCTCTTTGGCAAGCAGCAGACCCTATGTACATACATGTAAATATCTGTTAGTTTGTCAATCAAATTAGCAATCTAATTTATTTGTGGCAAAAGTTTTGTTTAGGACATGATCAAGACAATAAGCAAGAACAGTTGTGTGCGGAAAAAAGAGATACAAGTTTTTCAGAAGCACCCAGTGATGAGTGAAGCTCCTATTAGAAATACAATTTTAAGCTTGAGTTAGTTACATTTACTGACAATGAGTACAACTGACATCTTCATTCTACATACTGAGATACGGAATGTGTTTCAAAACATAAATTTGCATTTGCATTACACTTTTATTTGCTGTTTACATCGAACAATTTTTGTTTTACATCTGCATTTTGTACACACTCTGAGTCAATTCATCTGCAGTCATAAAATTGCACGATGATCTATGGGTGACACCACTGTTCAAATATGAAGTAAAATAAAACCTTTAGAAAACTACAAATAAAGAAAAGGTCTTGATTATTCAGTGATAACTTAAAAAGTTACAGATGTTTGGAATTGAAATAAAACTGTAAGTAGAAATTACACACCAAATTTATGTTAACCTGTGTACAGACTTCCTTGACGGAGTGAACCACAAATGATCAGTCTGTATTATGACCACATTTAGAAACAAACCTGGCCCTGCTACCTTAAACAATAACATTTCCCCTGTGTAATTTCAACAACAATAACAATAAAAATTCCAGCTTTATTTATTGATGGTAGCAAAATAATCTCCAGGATGTTTTTCAAAGGGCTGCCAGTAACCACTTGAGAAATGTGAGGATCTACAACTTCAAATTACAACTGCAGATATATGAGGATAGTGTTCAGTTTTAGAAGTGGAAGGAAAAACTCCACATGAACATTATAGAGAAAAACCCACAAAGTTAAGTAAAGACTGAAAAATCCACATGATAACCTGGGCTGAATTCACAGAAGTGGAAGGTGATGAAAGTGTCACAATGCCAACCTGACGCCCCATTCTACCAGTCCACTTTTCATTGCTGAGCCAAAGCAACACTGACACCAAAATAACCCTCTAAGACCATATACATGTAGTTATGTACATCATAATTCTGATATAAGTTGGTTGAAAGAGCTGCATTTTCCCAGTGGATGTACTTGTCTCGGCAGTTATTGTTGAGGCTGGGGCAGCTGCGCTGCTGCCGTCATGGGGAAGCCTCCAGCGGCAGCATCAGTACCTCCTGAATCCTACATCCTCTTCTGTTGCTTCACCTGCAGCTCCTTCTGGATCTTGTAGATCTTCTCAGCCAAGAGGTGATAGTACTCCTCCTGTGACAAGACCAGGCAGCAAAAAAACAAATGAGTGAATTAAAAATTGAGCAAGGGTGAATGCTTTTCCAGGAGAATTTTCTGCAATGGACACTGGTTTTCAAAAGGGGCCACTCAAAATTTTCAGTGTTTTTAAATTTTTAGTTTTTTTAATAGTGGGTGGGTCAAGGAAAAAAGTGAAAAAAATGAAATTTACTTTTTATAATAAAAAAAATATTTTTCTGACTTTCCTGAAATACGTGTAACGTGCACGCCACGTATATATATAGCTTCGCCAAACCAGCATTCCAAAAATGCAATCTTTTTCAACTTTGTTTCCATGTACAGACAGATTGACCTTTCCAGTACATAATTATGCAAGTGTAAAACATCATGGAAGGAGCTGGTTTTTACTGTTAGACTTGGAAGCCGGGCGGTTGCAGTGGTGATCAACCACAAATGTAGCAGGGTACCAGACGTATTATATAAACCCACTGGTATACACAGTGAACGTTGAACTTTTTGCTAATAACAGTGAAATGTTCATCGCCTTGAATCCAAGACTAACCAGACAGCAGCAAACTGAATCTGTTGGCTAGGGCTAGGCCTACGTCTCCGTTCCAATAGAAATACATGTGCATGTGCGTGGAGACGCGGTAATTGACTGTAGGCGATGCCGTACCTCGGGAGAGATCCATTTTTGAGTGGATTGGACATGGCATGCTGTTCCGTGCACGATCGATCACGATCATTTATTGCAATTCCAGCCATCATCTTGTCATATTGTGTTGCATCATAGATTTTTACATGTTTATGAATTTATATCAAATGCATGTATAATGTACACGTACTGGATAAAAATTCAACTTTTTAAAGCAAAATTCGGGGTGGGTGGATCAAAAAAATATGAAAAAAAAGTAGAAATTTAAAAAACATTGAAAATTTTGAGTGGCCCCTAATCTGTACATGACCCATCAGTGGAGAGTTTCTGAAACTTGATAAACACCTGCACTTCTCTAAGAGTAGGAAGGGTCCTTGTACATTATACAAAGTCAGTTGTTTGTGAGACTAAGTTAAACCTTCTATAAAGTCAAATATTAGGTTCTATTCCAATTTACAACAAACAGCAGCAACCAACTACATCTGTTTGGTCATCTGAGTGCTTTTTCCCTCTGAGTTTCGGCAGAGGGATTTGTCTTCTAGTTAAAGACGTTTGGTCCTAATTGATGATTTATTCCCTTAGTAACAGCAAGATCACAAATCATGAGAAAAGGAACACTGCAGGTCAGATTTGGCCTTATTGCCTGACATATGCATAGCTACTAAGTGCACATGTATACCTGTATTAGTTTACACAAACAAACTAGCAAAGAAGTCAGAGCACGTTTAGGCGCCTTGAGGAAGTATGAGTGATCAGAAGAGGGTTCTTTCTGCTGAGGCCACAAGCAATATATGTAAAATAGGACAAGGGACTTTGAAACTGTTTTAAGATGACACCTCGATTGCCTAATTTGGACCATTCTCAGTCATTTTAGAGTCGAAAACAGGATGTCAATTTCATGCCAGAAGAGTCACTAACACGTGTGAATAATAGAAAAATCAGAGAAAATACGAAGCAGTCACACCAGAACTGTTGCCTCCTTTTTCAGATATTTCAATACCTACAACGAATATAGAAATGAAAATCACATCACTGTGTAGAGGAACATGTGCCCTTTCCGATGATACCTCGATTGCCTGATTTGGACCATTGTCTGTCATTTTAGAGTCGAAAATAGAAAGCCAACTTTAAGCGGGAAGAGGCACTGCTACTTGTGGACAAAGGTAGAAATCCAACAAAAATACGAAGCATTAGGACAAGAACTCCTGCCTTCTTTCCAAGATATTCAGGTACCTGAACCAAATATGGAAATGAAACTTACATCA